TATGTGGGATCCGAACCCTCGGCGGGAGCGCCGCCGCGCTCCCAAGTGGCGCACTGTAACAGTGCGCCACCAGGCCGGCCCGGGATATGACACATTTAAATAAGCCTATCTTTAGCCTACTGAAGTGTTCTAGGAGGAAGAGTATTTGAGTAGTTCTTAAAAAGTGTTACAGATCATAAGGCAAATAAGACATTTATTTTGTGTGCGTGACTTATCCCTGGCTTACAGGGCCATTTCTATTAGGTGAAAACTGGTTTAAGAACCCCCAAATGTTAATCATGGAGCAGTTTTCTTAAAGGTGCAGAAGCAAATGACCTATAAATGAGTTCAAGAAAAGACAACATCTTGGAGGTGTAACACTTGGGAAAATCATCTTACTTGCCATTTCAACTTTGGTAGTTAAGATTGGTAATTAGGGGAAAGTACAAGTTTACGGGAATAAGACCTAAGAAATAGCAATGACCAGAAAGTACTTGAAATTTCAGTTTGAAGCCAGTTTTACTTTCATGTTCTTACAAAAAGAGAGGAATGACAATGGGAGTCATTCTAGTCACGAGCAGATGGAAGAAATTCTCCAAGTGTTCTGTTGTTTCCCCCTTTGAACAGGATAGAACATTGTGTTTCTGACTTAGAATAAAACAAATGGACTGAAGTCCAATAAATGCAGTGCTGCTTATGAGTACTTACATTCGGGCCAGGGGACAGTGTGACTTTCTACTTTTCCACACAGCCCAGAAAAGGGAAAGCAGATCCGGACCCATTTGCCAGTATCCTCCTGCCAAGTGCTCAACCTTTGTCTTCTAGGAGGGAGGGGGCAGTATTTGGGGTCTTCATTCTGATTTTGTGACGTTTGTGCAGAACTTAGTCTGTCTCCATGCTGGCTCTGAATCTCAAGACCTCACAAAGCCAGCACAGCCACCATCACGCCCACGCCAGGTATTCAAGGCCCCGTGCTGGTGACCTAAAGCCCAGCACAGTGGCCAGCTCTTTGCCGGTGCTTCCAAAACACTGTTGTATGAATGGACACGGCAAACAAGGTCACACAGGTTGGGTCTCAACCCAACACTGGCCCTGGTGCCCCTCATCAAAGCACGAGCAGTGGCCAAGGTCAGAAAACCTGAGGGCACACACATGGCAGCATGTGTCTGACCCAACACCAACCAACTTCTAGGGTCCTCAATCAGGAGCTTTCATCCTGCTAGCAAGGCTGTAAGCCTCACCAGAGCTTCTGAGCTTCTGCTCTAACCTCCCTTCAAACTCTCCCAATTCTCTAGGTTTCCCAGCAGAAAACAGGGAATATAGCAGGCAGGGATGCCCTTCTCCCTAATGCACACGCTGCAGACACCATGGCTTCAGGAATCTTCAAATTAAGGGCTTTAATACTGAAAAAGCATATTACACTAAAAAAGCAGCTTTCTATATAATTAAATGCTATCTTCCTGAACAGAAATGAAAAGACTCTCCTCAGAAAATAGGGGAGGTTCCTATGCCACACATGGAGACCTCTTAGTATGTCTCCACCTCTTTGGTCACCCAAGTGCTCAACTGAATTATCTTTTCATCTACTTCCCCAATTTACCCCAAATTCCCCAAAGGCAAAGTCTTATTATCCTTCATCTCCATAGTACCTTATATGAGGGTACTTCAAAAAGTTCACGGGAAAACAGAATTGAAAGAGAACTCAAACCTTTCCATGAACTGTTTGTGGTACCCGCATATGCAGTATGTGGACAATATGACAATGACATAATAAACACAGAAGACTGACTAGAGGACTTATGATACCATTTCCGAGTCTCATACCCCTTTCTCCCATATCACAGAAGTTAGGAAATGAGATGAGTCTCCACATGAGCCCTTGCTGGTCTCAGTGCTGCCCTGGCTCAAGTAGCAGCTGTGGGACCCATCCTGAAGTGATTGCTGCTTCAGCTGACCACCCGCGGCAGGTCTGACCCATCTGGGAGTGAGCTGCATGGAAGAAGTCAGCTGCCGGTCTGGGTCTGCTCCATGCCGGGGGGACAGGTGCCCAGAGGGGGACTGGAGAACTAAGGAAGTTAGAGAACCAGCCCAGAACTTCTGTAGGGAATAGGCACTGTTGTGAAAACTCCGAGCCTTCCAGGTCTTTTCTGATCCACGTGGAGCAGGGCAAAGACTGAGGAAGAAAAGCGGCTGGCAAGCGGAGCTGAGGCGGGGGTCCTGAGATCATTCTGCTTCCAGTCTAAGGCAGAGAGCTCTGTCTGCACTTGGCAAGTCCAGCTCCCTGGGTCACTGGGTCGGTCACTGGGTCCCTCACTGGGCTAAGCTGACTCTTCTTCCTTCATGGTTTCCAAACAGCACCATGGGCAAGTAGCTGGACACGGAAATGAAGTATGGACATTACCAAGTAAAGCCAGTCCACTGGCCACCTAGTGAGGGACAGAGAGCCCACCACCAAGTCTACAAGCTAAGAAATGCTAATTGCCCCATCACTGAATTAGCCAAGTACCACTCCAGAGCAGACCTGAAGAAGGAAGACAGGTCTACATAGGAAGCTGGTCCATCTGAGTTAGAGAAGACCAACAGTCTTCCACACGAGGCTCACAAGCACAGGCTGGGGTGAGGTGGGGGCAGGAGGTCTGTAGTCTGTACATGTGGTTGATGAGACAGCTAGGAATGTTGGATTTCCCAAGCGCACCTGCTGCACCTACCTTTCGGCTAATAGTAGAGAGTGAGCCAACCAGTTTTGTATTTTCATTGTTCAAATAAAAGGCATATATATTAACCTGTTCGTGTGATCTAAGCACCCCTGGGAGAAATGAAAATAAACTTGTCTTTGTGGGAGTAGAAGTTTTCCAGAGATCTCCTCTATGCAAACTCTATCCTATACATACCCTTTTAACATCTACCCTACACAATGATAAGAAACAGAAAGGCTGTAATAAGATCAGCTATTTATACTGCTGGCCATAGGTTAATTTCACTACGTCATTCAATGTAGGTTAACTTGTTGAGTGTTTTTCTTTTAAAAAAATCCAAGAAATAAAAATCATCAGAAATATCTGATGACCTCAACATTCCACCCACTCGTTCCAAACCCAAGCTGGAGTGACTGTCCACAAGACACATCTGGCTGCTGAGACAAAAGCAGATGGGTCCAGTACTTGTAAAGTTCATATTTATTATAACAAAAATGATGACATGTCCATGTGTGCATTCTGCTTTAATATAAGGGGGTATGTAAATGGTCTAATGGAACTCTACACAATCATGCTGATTGTGGCAGCAGTAAGGAACACAATTAAAAAGTGTCTACAAAAGTCCAGAGGCTGGGGAAAGGAGAGGAAGAAAACAGGTTCAGGGCCCCCTTGAGTGCAGGCTCTTGTCCAGTGGCCTCAGATCCACCCTATTTGAACAGAAATGCTCTAGCGGCTCAGCCTCCACATTTAATGAACTAAAGGTGAGCTGTGAGATGGGAGAGGGCAGGGAAGGCCCAGCAGAGGGGGAAGAAGAGAAAAACCAGTTATTTAGGCTGTGTCCTTATGCCAAAACTACAAAACATTTTAAGCATCACTATACAACACTGAGCTATTTACAATAGAAATTCTCAATCAACTGTTCTCTCAGAGAAAATTAGTGAATCCCAGTGACTTAAGTCACCTGACAGAGTAAAGCAACTCCTAGGAGTTAGTCTCCATATTCTACAAATGTCTATCATTTTCAAGACAAAAAAAAAGCCTTTCCCCCAAGAAATATAGAATTACAATATTATTAAGTCATTTAGCAATGGCAACCTGCCCTGCTTTCCAAACAAAACAAAAGCCATTTTAAAAAATATTACATTATCATTAATTGTTTCTCTGTAATATATTAAACCTTTTGTTCTTTGTCTTTACATATCTGATATGTTAGGGGAAGAAGTTAACAAGTTTAAACCATATTGGTAAAGCATCACTAAAGGAAAAGTGGTAATTATTAAAAAATAAAAAAAAATTAAAAAAATAGAGAGAACCTACAGATTAGCTGCAAAGACAGGTTGGGGATAGTGTCTGGGAAGAGGACATGGAGTAAAACCCCTGGTTTAATGTGAGTCTGGGAGACTCTTGTTACTCAGTCCTTCTTGGGTAGTTTATTCTTTAAATAGTGCTCAGATTGGGTCATAGTGGTGTATCATAATAGTCTGGCAGCTGGTCCACCTGATACTGCTGCAGCGGCTGTGGGGGCGGCAGCGATGATGGTGGTGGCTGCGGCGTCGGCGGCTGCTGCTGCTGCTGCTCCTGGTGATGCTTCATGATTTCTTTGACCTCCTCTTCCAGCTCCGGGGGTATGATAAACTGATCATCAGGATCCGGCTGAGCTGGGGCAGCAAAATAGCCTCCAGGCTTTCGGAGAGGTGCATCTGTCGCCACCTCTATCACGTTGTGGCTCCTTTCCTGGGGCGCAACAGAGCCATTTGCCCTCCGGCGCCCGATGGTCCCTACAGCAGAAAAGTCTGCCTTCCTGGACAGACCTGACTCATCCTCGTTGGCACTGATGACAATGCCCTCGTCGCTGGCCTCAGCTGGCACCTGAAGCAGGTGCTGCTGCTTCTCCTTTTCCTTGGCCCGGCTGCAGTGGATGTCTACTTCCACCTCCACCCGGCTGCCATTGCTGAAGACGCCCTCAATTGGTTCTTCATCATCACTGTCAAGGCCATTGTCAGAGAAGGCGCTGGAGAAAGTGGCGCTGGACAGCTGGCGCTGGAAAGAGCTGGACAGAGAGACCGGGTGGAGCATGCAGCGCTGCTCACTGGGGTAGGCGGGGCTGCTCTCATTCAGGGCTCCGGACGTGGGCTCATCAGAGGCTGTGGAGCCCACCTCACTGCTCATCTCGGAAGTGGACAGCTCGCTGCTGATCTCGGACGCCATGCCGCTGCTGGAGGATGGCACGCCCAGCCCGTCAGAGGGCCTATCCTTAATCACCATGTTGACCGAGGGAGGGAAGATGCCTGGGCTGGGTGGTGGCACACTCCCGCCACCACTGAGCTCGCAGCAGCAGAAGCTGTCCTCTGTGACACTGAGCTGCACCACCACGGCGCTGATGCTGTCATGGCAGCCATAGCTCTGGGCCAAGGTGCACAGCTTCTTGGCAGCAGCCAGGGCATCGGGCACGTTGCGCACGGCCTCCACAGCCTCCTCGATGGACAGGCTGTCCCACAAGCCCTTACTGCCTAGGATGAAGAATTCATCCTGGGGTGTCAGGAGCACAGACTCCACGTGGGGGCGAGGCACCACACTGGGGTGGAGGAAGGTGTAGCCCAAGATGCGTGTGGACTCGGTCACTCCATTCACCTTGCCATCCTGGAAGAAGGGTTTCCAAACAGTTAACACAAGAGCATCTGTGGCAACTGCTGCTTCCCTCTAGGTCCCCTGACTGTAGGACCACAGGGAAAGTGCTGTGTGGCCCCAAAGGGAAGGGGTGATCACCCTCTAGTGAGTGCACCTGTCATTACCCCAGGTAGCGGGCCCAGGCAGGTAAGGAGCAGAGGGACAAAAGTAAAATATTGAGGTTATCCCCTTTATTCGGACCATGTTCACACCAGGTAGCAAGAGCTGTTTTATCTCTAAAGCAAGCCTTCATCCAGCCTTACACAGCAAGCATGTTGGATTAGCTTCTGCTGTGAACCCACTGGATTCTAAGGAAGGAAGAGCCTTTCTGAAATAAGCAGTCCTGAGCAGAGACACACAAAGCAGGTACATTTCAAGATAATGCCCATCTTATGTAACTCTCTAGCGGTACCCCGACCACAAGTCGCAGTAGCGTCTGAAGGTCCAGAAGAGGGGCCAGGCATTGAAAGTACTTAACTGGTAGAGAAAATCTTGGTGTGACTAGCTGGGTAAGAATGTTCACGTGTGGAGAGGCAGCTGCTAAAGGAAAGGTGCCAATTCTTAAAATTTCCTTGAACTTCATTTCCTGGTGGTAAATGAAGTGTGCTGGCTTTAGTTCAGCTGGACTCAAGCCATTTAAACCAGTAGCCAAAGTTCCAGACCATTTGCCAACAAAAAAGACCTTTTTAAAAAAAAAACTCCATGTACCTGCTTGGTTCTTTATTCTTCAAGTTTGAGATTCTCAGGTCCATAAAGTGCCTCTATGTGCCCCTAGTTCAGAGAAGCCTCCACTATGACAAATACAACTTTCAGTGTGTATCTAGGATGAGCAAGTGCTTCTTCAAGGGAATAATATCCACTGTCTTTCCGTCACTATCACCTTCCTTTATTTGAGATTTTTCAGGGTATTGACTTGTTCCAGAGTTGCCTTCCCCCACTTCCCACACGGCCCTGCTATGCCACACTTACAAGCAGGCAGCATTCTCAGTAGTAAAGTTATAAAACAGGGCTTTCAAGCACAATTTTAAACTCCCTTGATTCTATTCATGTAATTTGTCCCCAAAGAATGGAATTTGGCAAAAACTACCCTTGCTGTCCTGCCTACCCCTTTAGGCTTATCCCCATCAGAACCAATGGTTCTGCCTATTTGTGTGTTTCAAGGGCATGCCTCAAAGTAGAGAAGAAAATAGAACAAAACCCCCCTCATTGTTAAGTACTCAGCAATGCAGACAAAAGTGAAGAGCAAGAGAGGCACAGAAAATGGGGGGAAAGCCTGATGTACAAACTCTGACTCATTTATGTAGCAGAAATCGTTAACCTTTGACTCATGCTTGGCACATTGCTAAGCACTTCATTCAATACGTTCTGTACAATGTTAGACTGTCTTTGCTCCCTAACATAGTGCCTACTGTCCATCTTAATACTCTCTTCTCCAAGAATAGGAGGGAACTAAAATTCTCACACAGACTCCTTTCTATGGAATCCCACAGTATATCTTGAATCTTTCTTTATCTTTCCTACGGCCCTTATCAAAGCCTACCTGGTATCAGTTATTTTTCTCTACTGCACTAAAAACTTTCACCAGTGTCTGCCTTAAACTGCACATGGTTCTATGGGTTTTATCAACCATACAAGACTGGGAACTTCTCATGGGCAGATGTGCATCTGTGGGGATCACTGCTGTTCCCCCACATCATTTTCCAGGTACGTGGCATGTGATCAACATTGTATGATGAATCAGTGAATGGGTTGTGACTCTTGGGGCCCATTTTGGGAGTTTTATTGAATCTTGTCACAATACAGACTTACTCGAGGGTTTCTCAACAGCTCAACAGTGGCACCACTGACATTTCAGGCCAGATAATCTGTTGTAGGGCTGTCCTCTGCATTGTAGGATGTTCAGAAGCATCCCTGGCCTCTACCAATACAGGCCCATAGCACTCTCTGCCCTGGTTGTGATGACCAAAAATATTTCCAGATGTTGCCAAATGTCCCAAGGAGGGCAAAATAGCCCCGGGGTCAGAACTACTCACTGCATTACTCAAATGGAGCATGTAGCAGGAGCTAAAAAACAACTAGTTACATTTACACAGATGTTCATAGTTTACTAGCCTTGTAAGATAGGACAGATACATTATTATTTCCATTTTACAGATGAGAAAACTAAGGCTTAGAGAGGTTTAAAGGTCATAGCCAACAACTGGCAGAGCTAAGATACAAAAACCAGCAGTGTGATTTCAGGTGCAGAATCCTCAACCACCAAACCAGAGCCTTCACAGACTGGCTGTGAGCATCAAATGGGATAATGCCCAGTTCCTAACACAGAAGGCAATGGATCAATGTTTTATTATTCTATACATTATAATGTCTTTAGACACACCATACAAGGAATTTGCATTGTGACACTGGATTTGGAATTCTAATTTGAAACCGACTCCAGAAGTGTTCTTTGAAGGCAAATGCTCCCTAGCTGGTTTCAGCCATGACTGGGTCCTCTCCTCCCCACCATCCCAAGGAAAATCCCTCTCTCCTCACCTCAGTGATAATGGCCTTGTGCTGTTTAATTCTCTTCAGCTCTTCTTCACAGCTCATGACATAAGATCTGGATAGAGGCAGTGGCTTCCCGTTTCGACAGAGAACTGTTTGGCACTTGCCCACGTTAGCAGATGTCAAGGTGAAGGATCCTCCTGGGTCCACAGGGTCATGCCTGATATGACAAAGGACAGCAGCACCTCCAAGTTTCTGCCCAGCAGTTCCAAGTTTCCTGAAATCCAAAGAGGAAGGATAAAAACTCAAACACCACCCATCGTGCGTCAGTTTCATTAATTCAACAGGAAGACTGTGAGGCTGGATATGGCCAGGAGGGAGACAGAACCTGGTGATCCAACTCAGACTCTCATCAAAGCATGCACTGCTTAATGTCTCAGGGAAAAAGGAGCCCCTGGAATGTGACATCACACACATCCATGATGAGAGGTGACTGCTCACAGCTGGGGGAAAATGTTACTTTATCCTTAAAAGCCACAGGAGTTGGTCTGGATTGAAGGAGCCCTTGGACTGCTGTGTCCAGCCTGCTACCTGCCATGTCACCACATTGCCCTATCAGCACACTCCAGAGATGGCAAGAAAATTAGCACATCTTTCTCCATTCACCTCTCTAAATCCCCTCTGCTCCCAGGAGAGGAAAATTGAATGGGCCACTTAAATAAGAAGAGGCATAAACATACTACACCCCCTGACAGATATATATAGGAATTGCCTGGTCACCCTCTCCCCTTTTATAAGGATGTTTGCTGGTATGAGCTTTTAAGAAATGGATTCTTCGTGTTCTTGCCCTATACAGCAGACTTTCTATTGTAGAAAATTCATAGGATGGATATTCTAGCAATCAAACATCAAGTGCTTGTGATTTATCCTTTTATTCATGACTCTTAACCCACAGACTTATTGAATTCATGAAGTACCTGAAAATTCTGAAAATCAAAAGGAGCAAAGAACTCATCACAAGCTCCACAATGACAATACTTCCCAGGCCCCTACTGTTCTGAGTGGAACAGGGGCAAGAAGGTTAAGCAAAATAGCCTCCCCAGTTTTGGAAGGGCAGACCCTCAGGTACTGTCAGCTCCTACTGTGTCTAAGTTAAGCAATTGGTGACAGTAGCAACAGAAATCCGAACTGCTGACTCACATGCGTTGAGATCATGCGCAAAAGACATACAGTTCCCCTAAGAACCAAAAAGCTCATCACACATCCCATTTCCTATTAACAAATAGGGAAAATAAGAGCCAAACAAGAGACTCTGGAGATGACAGGCCTACAATTTGGGACTCTAAACTCCAACTTCCCGATACCCATCACCAGATTTGGCTTTATGCCCTTCCCAGACTTTCTCCCTTTCAAAGGCACAATGACTTCTGAAAAGTACAGTTAGTAATCAGAGTTTGGAATTCTCAGTTTTTAATTCTTATCCAGTGCTTGTCGATCTACAAAAAGTACACCTCTTGGGGGGTTGTGAGTGGTATGCATGTGTGGTGTGGTGTGTGTGATAGTGTTTGCTTTTCTTCTAGGACAAGATGGTGGTAAAATCATAGAAGTTGATGTGCCTGAGAGTTAGAACATTCTCTAGAGTCTTACTGCCCCAGGTCAAATCCTGGCTGCACCAACTGCTAGCTCTTAAGGCACTTTGCTTCACCTCTCTGTACCTCAGTTTGTCTTCAATAAAATAAGAATAGTAACATTACTTATCTTAATGGGAAAAATTTATGACATGTAAGGGATTTAGAATGACTGTGTATATTGAGGGCTCACTAAATATTAGCTACTGTCTTTGTTCCATTGCTAATTATACATGACCACCGAGAATCTGATCTCGATGAGACTGAGGTGAGTCTAGCAGCAAAGAACAACACTAGGCCTGCCTCTACCCAGCTTTTCAAGAGGAACCATTCATGACTTAGGCACAGCTCTAAAGGCTGCTCTGAACAGCATTTCTCGGCAGACACTTATCTGACCCCTGTTACAAAGCTACTTTCTCTGGCAATTACCAAGGAAAAGAAAAGGCTGAGAGAGAGGACCATCACTGTTCTAATGACTTTTGGAGCATCGGTACACTCGTCACTTCTGGGTCCCACATAAGTGAAGATCTGCGGTACAGTATTTACAGACAGACAATTCCTAAACCTGCAAAGCCATTAAGGTGACAAAAGAATAAGCAATTCTCCGAATGAAGGAAATTAACTCAGCCGTAAGAGTTACAAACAACATTCTACCATTCCTAAAGTGACCTAAAGCTTTGTCACAGGTGGAAGCTCCAAGCAATGGCCTAGGATTCTGCTAGTAACACTGTCTTAAACATTTAACATGGGAAAAACAGCATATAGAGAATGATTTAACTCCTGGCCTAAAATTTGACCATCTCAATTTCACAAAGGTTTGTGGTATCTCAAACCAGTGATAGTACTTCATAAGGGTCAAGAAATGAGAATAAAAACAGTCCATTTCAAAGAGAAGCCCACACACCAGAGGTCTAAAGAGCCTCTGGAGCTCAATGAGTTGGGGGGTGGGGGGTGTTGTAAACAATCTGGTTAAAATCTGGAATCAATCCAGGCCTGAGAGGTCCAGTTCTCAGGGAAACTAAATTCCTGTCACTGACTCAGCCTTCTATAAAGCTGTCGGAACATCAGCATGTCTCAAACTGAAGCACAGGAGATCCCTGATGCTTGGGCAATACCAATTTGCCTGAATGCATCTTGAGTACCCATAGTCAAACAGCGCTTTGAGATTGCTGGGCACCTATTTTCCTAACCAGAGGGCAAACACTCAAAGAAGAGGAAGAAAACACACAGCAGGGACTCTAAGTTTTACCTTTGCATGACAATGAACGTATTGACCATGTATTCTTCTTCACTTTTTGTTTTCTGCAGCTCTTCAGCCAAAATGTCACTCATGGTACACTGGAGAAGGTAGGGTACCTCGACATTCCGGTCTCCATCAAATACGCCATACAGGGCCTCCCTGTTGTCACAGAAGTTATTCACCGACAGGGCTGCAACACACAACCTGCAAAGCAAGAATGCTTTTGTGCTGAGTCTACTCATCTTTCCTTCTCCACATCCAACCCAACTCTACTTTTTTCCTCCAGATATGCCTATCCCAGTTTTGTCTGTTTCTTCATAACTCCAGACAGATTAAGAATAATCTTACCACAGCTAATTTGCATCAACAAATCTCTATAAGCAGAGAAGAATGATAAACACATGCTTCATTCTCTTTTCTGATGATTTTGTTTTTAACGGCAGTGAAAAAAAGGGGGAATAAGAGTCATGGGAAATAATACAAGATTATGAATCTGTGTCAATAAACAGTTACTAAGGAGAACTTCCACATCTAGCCCAAACAGAGTGACAACTGAAACACTGGAAAAAAAATATAAAACATATGAAAAGATGTAAAAATATAAGTAAGGTCTCAAACAACTTTTTATTTTTTTTTATTTTTTTATTTTTATTTTTATTGTCTTTTTCCGTGTCCGGCAACGGATCGCAACCCTCAGTGTCGCCCCCGTACCGGACCGGGACCGGCAACGGGATCGCAACCCTCGGTGTTGCCCCCACGCCTCGCTCAGCCAGTGAGCGGGAACCGGTCTGTATGTGGGATCCGAACCCTCGGCGGGAGCGCCTCCACGCTTCCCAAGCGGCGCACTAGCGCAGTGCGCCACCGGGCCGGCCCCTCCAACAACTTTTTAAAAAGGCAGGGAAAAAAAAAAAAACCCACCAGCATTGGGACATTGTACATAGAAGTACAGATCTGTGGTCCTTGAAGGAGCCTGATGCTTGCCCAGCTCAGTCCTGGGGAAAATCTCCCCAGTAGCACTGGGAAAAGGAACCCCAGTGGAGGAAATGGACTGAGAGCTTAGGGAGGACAGGGTGGTTAGAGTTCCCAGGCAGAGCACTGGAGGAGGAAGCTGCTCAAGCAAGCACGGGAAGTTGCAGAGAATCTCCCCACTCCAAGCTCAAGAGAATCAAACAGTTTCCAAGTAACCTAACTATGTTCCAGAGAGAGAAAAAAAGACCAGAGAGTGGGGCTGGGAGGTGGGTAGGAACTGAGTGCATTAGTGAGTGGTGGGATAACTTTGAGCAGCCTAATATTGGAGGGAACTGAAGTCTTCAAAAGAGGAGAGACAGAAAAAACATTTGAAGAATTAATGGTTGAAGGCATTTCAAATTTGCTGAAAACTATAACCATACAGATACAAGAAGCTCAAACAAACCACAAGCAAGAGAAACATGAAGAAAAGTTAACTCAGGCACATCAAAATCAATTGCTAAAAACCAGGAACAAAGGTGGGAGAGTGGGGTGGGAGAACAAAGACATGAATGACAGCAGATTCTCATGGGAAACACTGCAGAAGACAGTAGCAGCAACATCCTCAAGGCACTGACAGAAAAACAACTAGACAACAACCTAGATTTCTAAACCCGTAAAAACGGCTTTGAAAAGCTAAGGTGAAATACAGACATTTTTATTTTTTAGATGCACAAATAAAAGAAGACTGGTACTACAAGAAATGTAAAAGCAAATGCTTGAGGCAGAAGAAAATGATATCAGATGGAAATCTGGATGTGTACAAAAGAATGATAAGTGAATATAAAATAGGTAAGTGAACATAAAAATTGTTTTCTTATTTTTAAAATCACTTTAGAATGGTAGTTCTCAGTATGGGTGATTGTGCCCCCAGGAGACATTTTTATTGTCACAGTGGGGTGGGGGACAGTGCTACTGGCATCTTGTGGGTAGAGGCCAGGGATACTAATTAAACATCCTGCAATGCACAGGGCAGCCCCCTCCCCTACTCCCCAACATAAAGAATTACCCTACTTAAAATGTCCATAGTACTAAAGACGAGAAGCGCTGCTTTAGAAAATAACTTACTAAAGTAAAAATAATAACAATGTACTCTGAAGTTTATAACAAACGTAGAAGTAAAACATATGGCAACAATAACAGCACAAAGATCCTGACAGAAGAAGTAGAAATACATATTCTTAAAGTTCTTGTATGAGAATTGATGTAATATTCCTTGAAGGTAAACCAGGTAATAAGTTAAAGACTATACTATAAACCCTAAACAAACTGCACACACACACACAATGTAGACGATAAGAATGAATAAAGATGATAAAATGGAATCATAAAAAATACTCAATCCAAAAAAAATGAAACAGAGAAAAAAGAAAATAAGAACAGATGAGACAAACAGAAAACAATAGTAAGTTGGAAGGTTTCAACCTAACCATATCAATAATTTCATTAAATGTAAATGGTCTAAACACTACCCACAGACAAAAAAGTTGGATTGGAGTAAAAAGACCTAAGTATAACTATAAGAAACCCATTTTAAATGTAAAAAGACAAATAGGATAAAAACCAGTATACCATGCTAACACTAATCAAAAGAAAAGTGGGGTGGCTACAATAATACCAAAATATATTTCAGAACAAAGAGTATCACAGGAATAAAGAAAGTCATTCATAATGTTAAAGGGGTCAGTTCACCAAGAGGCCATAACATTCTAAATGTTTACATACTTAATAATAGAGCTTCAAAATACAGGAAGCAAAAACTGATAGAACTACAAGAAGAAATAGACAAATCCATAATTATAGTCTCTCAATCACTGACAGAACAAGTAGAGAAAATCAGTATGGATATTTAAGACGAGCAACGATATCAATCAACTTGATCTAGCTGACACCCTACCCAACAACAGCAATTTTTTCCAAATGCACAAAGAACTTTTACCAAGATAAATCATGTTCTGGGTCAAAGAACAAGTTTTAACAGGTTTAAAGGAATCAAGTCATACAGAGTATGTTCTCTAACCATATTGGAGAGAAGAAAATTTAAAACTTGCTTAGAAGAAAATTTAAAACTCTAAATGCTTATATTACAAAATTAGATGTCTCAAATCAATGACCTAAGCTTCCACTTTAGGAAACTAGAAGAAGAAGAGCATAAAAATAAGAAAAATGAATGAAACAGAAAACAAAATAATGATAAAGAAAAATCAATTAAATTGAAAGCTGGTTGAGAATATCAAAATCGATAAACCTCAAACCAAATTGATCAAGAAAAAAAAGACACCAATATCAGAATTGAGAGAAGGGAGGGACATTACTATAGATCCTCCAGATATTTTTTTAAAAAGGAATATTTTTTTAAAATAATGGAATATCACAAACAAGTTTATGTCAATAAATATGAAAACTAGATGAAATGGAAAAATTCCTTAAAAGACACAAATTACCAAAGTTTGCCTGAGAAGAAAAAAAAAATCCCATTTTAAAGAAATCGTATGTTTAGTTAAAAACCAAAGAAAATTCCAAGCTCAGATGGCTTTACTGGTGAGTTTTCCAAACATTTAAGGAAGACATAATACCAATTCTATACAAACTCTTCCAGAAAACTCAAGAAGGAATACTTCCTCACTCATTCCATGAGGCCAGCATTATCCTGATAAAACCAGACAAAACATCACAAGAAAACTACAGACTAACATCCATCATCAAACACAGACATCCTCAAAAGATTACCAGAAAACTGAATCCAGCAGCGTATAAAAAGAATTATACATCATAGCCAAGTTGAATTTATACTGGGAACACAAAGCTGATTCAACATTTTAAATCAGTCAATGTAATTTACCATATCAACAGTCTAAAGAAGAGAAACCAAAGGATCATGTCAATTGATGCAGAAAAAAGCCTACAACAAAATTTGATATCTATTTATTATAAAAACACTTAGCAAATTAGGTATAGAAGACAATTTCCTTAACTTGATAAAGGGTGTCTATAAAGATACCTTCAGCTAATATCATACTTAATCATGAAAGAATTAATTCTCACCAAAGAAGACATATGGATGGTAAATAAGCTCATGAAAAGATGCTCAGCATTATTAGCCATTTGAGAAATGCAAATTAAAACCACAATGAGATATTACTATTACAATGGCCAAAACAACAACAACCTGATGACAACAAGTGGCTGGTAAGGATATGGAGCAACTGGAACCCTCATACAAGGATGCTTCAAAAAGTTTGTGGAAAAATACAAATCTTTCCATGAACTTTCTTTTTTTTTTTTTGTCTTTTGTCTTTTGTCTTTTGTCTTTTGTCTTTTGTCTTTTGTCTTTTGTCTTTTGTCTTTTGTCTTTTGTCTTTTGTCTTTTGTCTTTTGTCTTTTGTCTTTTGTCTTTTGTCTTTTGTCTTTTGTCTTTTGTCTTTTGTCTTTTGTCTTTTGTCTTTTGTCTTTTGTCTTTTGTCTTTTGTCTTTTGTCTTTTGTCTTTTGTCTTTTGTCTTTTGTCTTTTGTCTTTTGTCTTTTGTCTTTTGTCTTTTGTCTTTTGTCTTTTGTCTTTTGTCTTTTGTCTTTTGTCTTTTGTCTTTTGTCTTTTGTCTTTTGTCTTTTGTCTTTTGTCTTTTTCTGTGTCCGGCAACGGATCGCAACCCTCAGTGTTGCCCCCGTACCGGACCGGGGACCGGCAACGGGATTGCAACCCTCGGTGTTGCCCCCGCGCCTCGCTCAGCCAGTGAGCGGGAACCGGTCTGTATGTGGGATCCGAACCCTCGGGCGGGAGCGCCGCCACGCTTCCCAAGCGGCGCACTTATCCAGTGCGCCACCGGGCCGGCCCTCCATGAACTTTCTGAAAAACCCTCAGTACCCTGCTTCTGGGAGTGCAAAACAGTATGGACACTTTGAAAAACAGTTTGGCAGTTTCTCATAAAAGTAAATACACACCTACCATATGACCCAGCAATCCCACCCCTAGGCATTCACCCAAGAGAAATGAAACATACATTCACACAAAAACCTGTATGCAACTGTTTATAGCATTTTTATTCACAATTTCTTTTTTTTTTTTTTTTTTTTTTTTTTTTCCGTGTCCGGCAACGGATCGCAACCCTCAGTGTCGCCCCCGTACTGGACCGGGACCGGCAACGGGATTGCAACCCTCGGTGTTGCCCCCGCGCCTCGCTCAGCCAGTGAGCGGGAACC